TATATACATATATATATATACTATATATATACTACTATATATATATATATATATATATATATATATATATATATATATATATATATATATATATATATATATATATATATATATATATATATATATAAAGAGCCAGCCCGAAAAAATCTTCATTTATAAATATCAAGAAATCATAAAACTTCAAAGTAAATAAATTATATTTTTACGTTTCGGGGACAAGCCCCTTCTTCAGAATAACGCTACATCATCTCCGCTACATCATGTCAGATACAACGTCAACAATCGCAATAACGTAAAGTATTATTACCCGCGAACCAATGTTTCAAATTTAAGAAACAACCCACTGTTAGAAAGCTGAATGGCTACGCTTTAAAATGAATGTAAACTTTAACGTTTTCGTCTACTATTTGTTTAGCAATTTACATTTCAGTCGAGGATTGCGCTTTTTTTTATACACCCTGTATATATATATATATATATATATATATATATATATATATATATATATATATATATATATATATATATATATATATATATATATATATATATATATATATATATATAAAGAGCCAGCCCGAAAAAATCTTCATTTATAAATATCAAGAAATCATAAAACTTCAAAGTAAATAAATTATATTTTTACGTTTTGGGGACAAGCCCCTTCTTCAGAATAACGCTACATCATCTCCGCTACATCATGTCAGATACAACGTCAACGTCCATTCTCCCTCTTTTTTGTATTTCCTTTTCTTAGTGGTGTTAGTCAGTTGACAGTTTATAGCTTTGGTTCTCGGTCTGAAGTTAAACCCAACACATTTTGATGCACTGAAGCAGAGAAAATTGCAATTCACATCGACAGGGTGTCCGATATTTTGGTTTATGCATGATCTCTTCGGGAGATAAGGATGCGACGTCTTTGAAATGAAGTAATGATAACCAGCGTCAGTAAGCTTAAAGTTATTATTTTAAGAGAAAACCGAAGGCACAAATTCTCCATCGTGTTTCCCCTGTATGCGCCACGCAATTGACTCAATGGGGAGTTTAAGATACTGACAACGAAAAACGGGTACCGACTGTTTGGTTGAAAGCCTGTTTTCGTATTACTTTAACTAAGACTAATAATATACATGAAGAAATTTCTCATTTCCGATTGGCTAAGAGCAGTGCAACTTTTTCGAAATACAGTGCCAAAAAATGAAGATACAGCCATTTATAGCAGAAAATAATACCAAAAACCCAAACATTTACAAGTGACAAAAATGGCTGGCGTTTTTAGTAGATTTTCTATTAAAATTATTTATATTCAAATTACTCCCTTTATGTGATATGAGCTATATACGCACGCATGTAACTGTATAATTTTTTTATGTATATTATTAACAAGTAATAGTATGGCTTCTGGTGAAATTTGGAAAAACATACACTCGTGAAAATAAGTTCTTTGTATGTTTGCATGGCGATAAAACATATAATAGTTTTGTTTGTGGAAACGAAAGCTTTGCAGTAATAAATTTTCGTGGTGTTTCCACAAACAAAACTATTATACACTCGTGAGTTTTTCAAAGACTTCAAATTATTGAACTCGTCTTTTGATCGTCTTTGTCCTTTGAAAAACTCATTTGTGCATGCATGTTTTTCCCAAATTGCACGAGAAACAATACTACTACCGGACATACAAACATTTTTCCGGACATATCGTAATTTTGTTAAATTTTTCCGTAATATTTTCGTAAATTTAAATTTTTACAATATAAATTGTAATTTCTTAATGTTGACTTTCCAAAATAAAAGCTATATTTCGAACTTTTTCCAATGTTTTCATTTTAGGGGCCCATGATGGCAGGGACCCACAACGAATTATCGTTGGCTCGTCCCTGGCCAGCACGTACTTACCTGGTACAAACAAAATTTATATACTTTTCACCGTAGCGACCTAAAGTACAACGTAAAAATCATTCTCTTGTCTTGTAAAACAGAATCAAGAACGCGGCACCAAAACTGACTACGCCGAACATTGCATGTTGGAGAGTGTATATTTTAATAAGAAATGAAGAAACCTAAAAGATGAGACTTACGAAACACAAAGCCATGCGCACAAACATATTTGGGATAAATTTGTGATGACATGCATTTAGTATTTGCACACATACATAGGCGTATACGGGAGGGGAAAAAATTAGGGCGGGGGAAAAAGAAATTTACCCGATTTGTTCCATTTTGTCCGACTTATAAAAAGTTTTTTTTCCCGGGTAAACTTTGCAAAATTGTTGCCAATTGGGGCGGATTTGGAAAATTTTTTGGAATATATATTTCTTGCATTTTCCACTATTACATTGCATATTTATTATTTTTCCAACCTAGTTTATAATATGCCCGACTTCATTTTCACTGGAGGGCAGCCCCCCCTTCTCCCCGCCTCGTACGGCTATGTGGACATATAACAAAACCTATTTAAAACCTAGTCGGTAGTTCGTCGTCGTCAAAACTGGTCCTAAACTCTCTAGTTAACACGTATTGGCTGGGACCGAGGGATATATATATATATATATATATATATATATATATATATATATATATATATATATATATATATATATATATATATATATATATATATATATATATATATATATATGAAACTCTTACAACTTTAGTGTTAGTTTCGACTATATAAGGCAATAGTGATTATAACATCTATATCTAATGCAAAAATTCGTTATCTAGGCATCTGTTCATCTAGCGTGCACGATGAATTGACTTCTTTTTCTCTTGTAACTACACGATATTTCAGCGTGTATTTGAGAAGATCTAGAATCCTGGGATTTCTAAAATCCAAAAGGATGTATTTTCATCTCCGTTTTCTTCATAGATCTGTTGTCTTTCCAATGCCGCCAATTTATTCCTGTGAAAGATTGTTCCCCTGCCTTGAGGTAGCGACCATTGAGGTTGGAGTAGTGACCTTTCTTATACCACCAAGCACCGTGGTATCCCACAGCACAGTTGCCGACACACTGATCATTATCTCTGTCGTGGGTAGTGAACTTCATTCCGTTGTGAAATGTCAACGAATTACCAGCATTACCTTATAGATATAAAATTATATTTCCTTAAAATATTTGAAAGTTTGGGATTTTCAAGTATGTGATACTTTCGGCTTCAGTTAGTTAAGAGTTTAAAAATTCCATATAATCATTTCAAAAATATATGTTAACTTTGCTATTTTTTGTATTGTCCAATTTTTTCCATGACTAATTAACCTTTCTGCACATAATTTTATTTTAATGTTTCAAGGGAGCGCGTTCATTTTAATATTCAAATATTATTACAACTGCACCCCCTAAGCCACACCCTAGTCCGTCCCTGCATGGCTTCGTCGCTACTTGCATGGTATATTTTATCAAATTTATATTTATCAAATCATATTTACCTGAAAAAATTCCTAGGTTCAGTCTATAACCGTCAGACTCAGGCGCCACAGAAAATGATCTATACTTCGCGTACGCTGTATCGTTAGTCCAATCCATCAAGTCCACTCTTAGAACATTTTGTCCTGATTTTGTCAAACGATGTATTTCATCCAAACCAAGCCAAAAATTACCGTTAAGATCACCAAAACCATTTTTGTAATCTTGCCATCCACGATAGAAATGAACACTTGCGTTTTGTCTTCTTTGGAACACTGTCCACCCTCCACCATCTGTTTGCATATCACATCTGACTTGGAAAGATCCAAGGCCATCAGGGTTGATAGTGTAAACACCATCTTTTCTTTTACCAGATTTGTATAAACTAGAACAACTTGCCACGGGTGTCGCTGTTGTCGAGATAGGTTTGCTGGAGGTGGGTTGAGCTAATGGAATAAACGGTAAAAATTTATGTCAACCTGTATTGTGTACACATGCACCATCTTTTCTTTCACTAAATTTGTGATGAACTTGCCCAACGTTTTTAGGAGTAATTACGTCTGTGTTTGATTGTGCAACTTGTTCGCAGTTTCACACTCTCAGTTTATTTTAACGTTATACATCTTATCTAAACATGCAAATCTTGAAAACTTTGCATGGCCCATGGCCGCGAGTTCACCACGCACAAGGCATAGGGGGGCAGGGGACGTTTGGCCCCGGAGGCCCCACTAGTTAGTGGCTCAGAATTGGCCCTAACCTTATACCTGATGACCTAAATCATACTCTGGCGAACGCCCTAATTTTGGTTCCCTTCCCCTTCTCCCCCAGTATAAGGCGTTTAAAATATTTACTGCGCCACATTCATGCATACGCGTATACACAATTAAGATGGGAGGATTAGTTTTAAGATGGGAGGATTACCCGGATGAAATCTCGAAACACGTCAGAAACAACCGAGCGAGCGTCACTCTATTTACATGGTCTCCCAATTCAGGATACTGAACTATACCTGGCAACAACCTTCAGTATAGCGGGGCCGGGGGTCTGGAATCAGCGGTATAAGCGCGTGATCTTGCAATACCTGCTGGTGTTTTCCTTTTCTCATTTGCATTTTCTGCCTAAAAAAAGATAAGGAAATAATTTTCAAACTACCGAAACATATAAATAATTCTGATTATTATTATAGCAAGGCGGTCCATCTGCACAATGCAGCATTTTGATTGGTTCCCAAGCGATCGGTAACCTGCAGTACGGATCACGAAGATGGACAGTTTGCGAAACAAACTATGCCTGCATAAAACATACAACCATATGGGCTACTAAAATTGATCTGTAGTAAATTAAAGGTAGTTATTTAACTAGGAAAAGTATACAGTACCCATGCATATAAGCTAGCTCAAATATCAAATTCGATTGTTTTCTATAAGAAAAAATTCTCTCTTCTTGTAATAAAAAACGCATGAAAGCAAGATTTTGTTTGCTTGTTTTTTCTTCTAATGTTTTGAAAATTAACATTTTCAATTTTATACGTACGACATCGATATCCCGATACAACGTCCACTCTCCCTCTTCTTTGTATTTCTTTTTCTTAGTGGTGTTAGTCAGCTGACAGTTTATCGCTTTGGTTCTTGCTCTGAAGTTAAACCCAACACATTTTGATACACCGAGGCAGAGAAAATTGCAATTCACATCGACAGGGTGTCCGACATTTTGGCTTGATATGATCTCTTCGGGAGGTAACGATGCACATTCTTTGAAATAAAGTAAACAAAATAAAGTAAGCAAAACGTTGAGAGATTCTAGATAATTACATCTGACTAAGAAGAGCTTTATTTAGAACATTATAACTATATAGTGCATTGTATATACTGCATGTTATACATGCATAAACTGTGTTTTATATAACTGAAAACAAAGACTCACCATTGCTGACAATTTTAAAATATCTGTTGCGACATTGTTCTGCTTTAAATCTTGCAATGATAACCAGCGTCAATAAGCTTAAAGTTATCATTTTAAGAAACAATCGAAGACACAAATTCTCCATCGTGTTTGCTCTGCATGCTGCCATGTAATACTCAATGGGGAGTTTAAGATCCTGCAAAACGGGTACCGCGACTATTATAATTTGCCCGACTTCATTTTCACGGGAGGGGGGGCAGCCCTTCCCCCCGCTTCGTAACCCTATGAACACATATAACAACATTTATTTCAATAGCATCACTAAGCGTGAAGTTATTCTTTTAAAAAAGATCGAAGACACAAATTTTTATCCTGTTTTCTCTGCAGTCACGCAATACTCAAAATAGAGAGTTTTAAGCCCCGTTCACACTACGCTCAATTTTTGGTACGGCACGGATAAAATTGGTACCCGTACCACTTTTTTGGTTCTTGAACTACCTATTTAGGTAGTCCAAGAACCATGCAAAAAGTGGTACGGTACCAAAAATTAAGTGTAGTGTAAACGGGGCTCTAAATAGGTAGTCAAAGAACCAAAAAAGTGGTACGGGTATACCAATTTTATCCGTGCCGTACCAAAAATTGAGCGTTGTGTAAACGGGGCTTAAAGCCCCGTTTACACTATACGCTCAATTTTTGGTACGGCACGGATAAAATTGGTACCTGTACCACTTTTTTGGTTCTTGGACTACCTATTTAGCTAAGCCCCGTTTACACTACGCTCAATTTTTGGTACCGCACCACTTTTTGGTATATAAATTGGTATATAGGTAGTCGAAGAACCAAAAAAGTGGTACGGGTACCAATTTTATCCGTGCCGTACCAAAAATTGAGCGTAGTGTAAACGGGGCTTAAGTGTGTATAAATACAAATTAAACGGCGAAACGTTTAGGTTTTTAAAATAAATAATTTTTAACCATGCATATGATGGCTGTTGAAGTTTTTTAACTGTGTATACTATTTAAAACACAAGTAGGAGTGTTTTATATGTGCATGATAAAACACGACGAATGTTTTGAAAACCTTAAAATACGACTAGAAAAGATGCCGTTCATTAGTATTCTAGTTATTCTTTGTAAAAGAATACTAATTAGGACTGAACAATTATATAATGCCACATGTGTTTTATCAGATATAAAGTCACTCCACGTGACATATTATGGCTGACATGGTTTGCCACAAGGTTTATGAATTATTAATGAGTATTTTAAATATATACAATGTTTTGCAAATACGTTTGCTAGATTGCTCGACTGATGAAACTGTAGGCTAGAGCATAATAAATATTAAGGTAGGAGAAAGATCTTTATTAAAACATTTTACATTAAAACGTTTCAAAATTTATAAATGTTATATGTATTAAAATTATTTTATAATTACTTAATTACCGCTCTGCTCAAGTCTCTGAAGCAACATTAATTTATAAGATTAAGAATTTAATTATAGAAATCCAAGAGATTTATATGCGAGGAACGAGCAATAATAATATAGGCGGCTGTTTATATCAGGCCTCTGATATCAGGCTATATGTGACAGAGTTCGTCAGTATGAATTTAATTACTTGCATGTCGGCATGCAATTGCAAGTCACAAGTTCATTGCAGGTTAAGAGCTCAGGTTTGCAAGTGATGAAAAACTTTTCCCACCAATATTAACACAAGCTATATATTTGTTGCTGGCCGGATTACATTAAGAATTACTGGCCAGAGTACAAATCTCTTGGATTTCTATACTTAAATTCTTAATTGGAAAGACTTGAATTGAACAGCACGCGGTAATTAAGAAATTAATTTTAATACATGTAACGTTTTCAACCTACATGTATTAAACGTTTTAGTTTAAAATATTTTAATTAAAATCTTTTTTATTTACATGGGCTAGTTTCATCGAGCACTAAGATACATACAGCTCACTTCCTTTGTACTGTGGCACATGTCTGGATGCGTTGATATGCTGCAGTTGTGTTGCAACATGGTCTCTTCATTTCCATGATGTTTTTAGTATCATCATACGGTCATACATAAATCTATGATGTGTATCATCATACACGTGTTCATTTTAAATTAATTCTATAATTTAAGTATAATGGCCTTAAAGAAGTTAGGGCGGTTAGGTGCCTCCGGTCATAGGGGTTAGAGTTGCGGTGGGGTGAGGTGAGGATCAGGTAATCAATGTGTCTGTATAAATTTACAACTTAATTTACATCATATATAAAAGTGCACATGTATGATGATGATGATTATATATATATATATATATATATATACATATTATTAGGACTGATGAAGATCCGGGCTTACGGATCGAAAGCTTTGCAGTAATAAATTTACGTGGTGTTTCCACAAACAAAAACAATTAAACAGATTATCATAATCGTGACGAGACAATATCAGTTTTAGGAAGGAACGTTATGCCTTGCCGAGACATTTCCCCTGTGTATAATGGTTGTGTATGTTCTGCATAGACGTTTTTAAACAGACAAATCCATATAAAATTCAGACATGATATCCCACAAATTTAATACTCTTACAATTTCAATTTAGCGTTGCAACTATAAAAGGCAATCTATACATGCAGTGATTATATAGCATCTATCTAATGCAACAGCTCGTTATCTAGGAATCTCGTTATCTAGTGTGCATGTTGAACTTGTCACTATACATAGGGATTTCTAAAATCCAGCTGTACGTAGTTTCATCTCAGTTTTCTTCATGGATTTTCTGTCATTTTTCCAATGCAACCAATTCATTCCTTTAGCAGATATCTTCCCTGCGAGGTAGAGACCATTGAGGTTGGAGTGGTGACAGTGTTTATACCACCAAGCACCTTGGCAGATTGCAGCACAGTTGCCGCCATCTTGATCATTATCTCTGTCGTAGGTAGTGAAGTTCATTCCGTTGTGATATGTCAACGAATCACCAGCATTGCCTTAGATGTAAAATTAGTCCTTAAAATATTTGAAAGTTTGGGATTTTAGAGTATATGATACTTTTGGTCTCTGAGTTAAGAGTTTAAACAGTCTATATTATCATATCAACAAATGTATATGTTCGCTATTTTTTGTATTGTCCAATTTCTTCAATGACTAATTAACCTTTCTGTGCATATTTTAATGCTTTAAGGGAACGTTCGGACAACACCCAAATATTATTACAACCCCCCCCCCCTCTTGAGTGACAAAGTCACACCCTCTAAAATGCTTATAATTAATAATTAATATTAATTAATTAATTATTAAAATATTAACCTTATTCTTTTAGAATTAAAAAGCAACTCTAAACTTTTTTCTCTAAAATCCAAGCTTATATTTTCCTAGGAATTAATATAAAAGTCAATTTATTAACAAATTATTTTGGAAGAAGCACCAGATGTTTTTTCATTAGAGAATATCACCCTCACCCCATCAGCTTTTGACTTTTTTGAAACCTCCCTGCATATGTTAGAAAATCTTATAGCCTCCTCCCCCCTTGTGTATCACTAGGCGCCTCCGAAATTGACAACCTTTATAATTTCATAGATTATTAAAACACCGCAATACTTGCGTACTATTATAGTGTCACATCTTATACAAAACGTATAGTGACTGAGAAATTGTGAGTATGGCGCACTTAATCTGCCGACATTTTTACGTGACCACAGAACGTTTTAGATAACATGATTTTGTGTCCGAAATTGCGTTGCTAGGTGGAGCAAAAGTTTCCTCTTGTAACTTGACCTTAAAGCATATAAGCCACATCCCATCCCTAGCTTCGTCGCTACTTACACTGTATTTTATAAAATTTTATTTATCAAATCATATATTTACCTAAAAAATTTCCTAGGTTTAGTCTATAACCATCAGACTCAGGCGCCACAGAAAATGATCCATACTTTGCGTACGCTGTGTCGTTAGTCCAATCCATCAAGTCCACTCTTAGAACATTTTGTCCTGATTTTGTCAAACGATGTATCTTATCCAATCCAAGCCAAAAGTTACCGTTAAGATCACCAAAACCATTTTTGTAATCTTGCCATCCACGATAGAAATTTACACTTGCGTCTTGTTTTCTTTGGAACACTGTCCACCCTCCACCATCTGTTTGCATATCACATCTGACTTGGAAAGATCCAAGGTCATCAGGGTTGATGATGTAAACACCATCTTTTCTTTCACCAGATTTGTATAAACTAGAACAATTCGCCACGGGTTTCGATGTTGTCGAGATAGGTTTGCTTGTAGTGGGTTGAACTAATAGATTAATAAAAAGCAAAAAATTATATCAAGCTGTACTGTGTATGCACCATCTTTTCTTTCACCAGATTTGTGACGAACTTGCTCAATGTTTTCCCACAAAACTGGAAAATACGATAAATATCATAGGCGTAAATTACGTCTGTGTTTGATTGTGAAACTTGTCCGCAGTTTGATACAGATCAGTTTGTTTTAACGTTATATATCTTATCTAAACATGCAAATCTTAAAACTGAAAACTTTGCCCCCCCCCCCGCGCCTCCACTGTAGGGCGTTTAAAATATTCACTGCGCCACATTCATATATACGCGTATACACTGTATAGACACGGAGTATAATTAAGGAGGATCCCTACAGTTTCCAATATATGTCAGTGTTTTAAACTGAAAGTTACTTGAATCTAAAAAAGACTAATATTTTGCACAAGTCATTGTTTCCTCATATATAAAAAGAGTAATTTTAACCCACAATCGCTACTCTTCACGTTACCACAGCAACGTGACGTCACCATCTATATGGCCTATATATTAACAAAATTTGTTTTTGCAGAAAATGCTTGTTATGAAGTTTTGAATCTTTTTTGAAAGTTATTTGAAAATCGTCTGTGTAGTTTTCGAGAAATTTCAGCCTTTCCAAAGGCTATAAAATGCAATCTTAAAGGCTGAAATTCAGTTTCTCGAAAACTACACTGGCGATTTTCAAATAACTTTCAAAAAAAGATTCAAAACTGCATAACAATGTATTTTCTGCAATAAAAAAGGTAGGTCACCGTGGTTATTTGTCCGCTAAGACGGCTTTTTTGGTTGATATAGACCATATAGATGGTGACGTCATGTTGTCATGGTAACATAAAGAGTAGCGATTGTGTGTTAAAATTACTTTTCTATATAAGAGGAAACAATGGTTTGTGCAAAATATTAGTTCCGTTTTAGATTCAAATAGCTTTTAGTTAAAACACGGACATATATTGGAAACAGTAGGGAGTCTCCTTAAGATGGGAGGATCACCCGGATGATATTTCGAAACACATATCAGAAACAACCTTCCAGTACCTGCATGGCAACAACCTTTCAGTAGGGGGTCTAAGGGACCGGTCATTATTTATGGCGGGGGGTGGCACCAAAGAGAAATGTTTTTCGTGGCAAATATTTTGCTGACCCAACCATTAAAAAGTCAAAAATTTGATTACCCAACCTCAAATATCAAATAAAAAATAAATACCCACCCCTGGCCAAAAACTTTACAAAAGGTTACCATTCAGTTGTCACATATGTCCTTTACCATTTCTGTGACATGAGTTTGATAACGGATTGTGAAATTTTCTGCAGTTTAAAGTTTCATGTTGTCTGCACAGTCATGTACTTTCCGTTTGGAGATACCATTTGTCTCCTAACAAATCGGAAAATGATCAAGACAATGACTCTGATTGATTCACATATTTTATTGACATATGGCTATAACTTTTTATTACCCAACCCTTGAGTTGTTTTGTTTTTCATTCACCCAACCTTCTACTTACTCAAAATTTTGTTTACCCAACCATTTTCTCTTCGGTGCCACCCCCCGCCATAAATAATGACCGGTCCCTAAAGCTAAGCGGTATATTAAAGCGCGTGATCTTGCAATAACTGCTGGTGTTTTCCTTTGGCTTTGCTCATTTTCTGCCTAAAAAAGATAAAAAAATAATTTTCAAACTACCGAAACATAAATAATTCTGATTATTATTACGCCAAGGCGGTCCATCTGCACAATGCAGCATTTTGATTGGTTCCTGAGCAATCGGTAGCCTGCAGCATGACGGACGCTAACATGGACAGCTTGTGAAACAAACTATGCCTGTATAAAATATACAATCATATGGGCTACTAAAATTGATCTGCAGTAAATTGAAGGTAGCTATTTAACTAGGAAAAGTATATACATGCGGTCCGTGAAGCTTGCTCAAGAGTCAAGTATCAAATTTGATTGTTTTCTAAAACATTTACTGTTTCGGCAGTCTGTTCAAATATTTGCAAAATTTACATTTTCAATTTTATACGTACGCCTACGGAATCGACATCCAGATACAACGTCCATTCTCCCTCTTTTTTACAGTTCCTTTTCTTAGTAGTGTTAGTCAGTTGACAGTTCATAGCTTTGGTTTCCGCTCTGAAGTTAAACCCAACACATTTTGATACACTGAAGCAAAGAAAATTGCAATTCACATCGACAGGGTGTCCGACACTTTGACTTGATATGATCTCTTCGGGAGGTAACGATGGACATTCTTTGAAATAAAGTTTAAAAAATGTTGAGAGATTCTACAGATAATTGCGTATGACGATGGTATAATTCAGAACAAATTTTACAACTACACATGTACTGTAAGCAAATAATTTACTGCATGCTACATAAACTGTGTTTCACAACTGGGAACAAGGGCTCACCACGGCTGATTTGAAAATATTTGTTGCGACATTCTGCTGCTGTAATTCTTCCAATGAAAACCAGCATGAAAAAGCTTAAAGTTAACATTTCAAGAAAAAATCGAAGACATAAATTTTTCATCATGTGTCTTCTGCATGCAGCCACGCAATACTCAATGGAGAGTTTATAGATTCTGATGAAAAAAAAACGGTACCACTATTTAGTTGAAACTACCAATTTATAATTTGCCCGACTTCATTTGCATGGGGGAGAGGCCACCCCTCCTCCCGCGTCGTAAGCCCCTGCACACATATAACAAAATCTATTTGAATAGCATAAATAAGCTTAAAGAAATAAATAAGCTTAAGTAAATAAGCTTAAACGAAATCGAAGACACAACTTTTTCATCATGTTTCCTCTGCAGTCACGCAATACTCAATAGGGAGTTTAAGATCCTGACAAGGAAAAACGGGTACCGACTAATTGGTTAAAAGCTTATTTTCGTACTACTTTAAATGAGACAAACAAAATTTACATACTTTTCACCGTAGTGATCTCGACTGCAACGTTAGAAAATGTTAAGAAATGCTATTAATTAGAAAAGATGAAACCTAAAAGATGAGACTTACGAAACACAAAGACAGCTCGTTATCTAGGAATCTCGTTATCTAGTGTACATGATGAATTAACTTCTTTTTCTCTTGTAACTACACAATTGTTCGATGTGTGTTTGAGAACAAAATGTGTTCCTGGAATTTCTAAAATCCAGCAGGACGTATTTTCATCTCACTTTTCTTCATAGATCTTCTGTCGTTCTTCCAATGCATCCAATCCACACCTGCCGGAGATTTCTCTCCTGCCTTGAGGTAGCGACCATTGAGGTTGGAGTGGTGACAGCCGTTATACCACCAAGCACCTTGCCAGGCCACAGCGCAGTTGCCGCTACTTTGATCGTTATCTCTGTCGTAGGTAGTGAATTTCATTCCGTTGTGGTATGCCAACGAATCACCAGCGTTACCTATAGATATAAATGGGATTTTAGACTATGTGATACTCGCGGCCTCTGTTTAAGAGTTTAAAAAGTCTATATTTATCGCATCAACGAATTTATACGTTTACCATTTTCTGTGTTGTCCAATTCTTCAACGACTAATTAGCCTTTCAGAACATATTTTAATTTTTTAAATTGTCTGTGATTTCATTGGGTTTACGGCCTATATAATTTCATAGACTATTAAATGATTTAAAACACCGTAATACTCAATTGCGTACTAGTCACATCTTAAATACAAACTTCACTGAGAAATTGACCTTAAGGCATATAAGCCGTACCCTAGCCCGTTCCTGGCCTCGTCACTGCTAGTGGGGGCCGAGATACAGTCTGCTTTCGCAGACTACGTCACTGCTTACATAGTATATCTTATGAAATTTATATCAAATCATATATTTACCTGAAAAACTACCCAGGTCCAGTCTATAACCGTCGGACTCAGACGCCACAAAAAATGATCCATACTTTGCATACGCTGTGTCGTTAGTCCAATCCATCAAGTCCACTCTTAGAGCATTTTGTCCTGATTTTGTCAAACGATGTATTTCATCCAAACTAAGCCAAAAACTACCGTTAAGACCACCAAAGCCACTTTTGTAATCTTGCCATCCACGATAGAAATCTACACTTGCGTCTTGTCTTCTTTGGAACACTGTCCACCCTCCACCATCTGTTTGCATATCACATCTGACTTGGAAAGATCCAAGGCCGTCAGGGTTGATAGTGTAAACACCATCTTTTCTTTCACCAGATTTGTATAAACTAGAACAATTTGTCACGGGAGTCGCTGTTGTCAAGATAGGTTTGCTTGAGGTGGTTTGAACTAACAGAATATAAACAGTAAAAATTTATGTCAACCTGTTCTGCGTATACACCATCTTTTCTTCCACCAAATTTGTGATAGACTTGGTCGACGTTTTACCATCAAACCGGAAAATGCTATATTATTGGAGCAAATTACGTCTGTGTTCGATTATGAAACTTGCTCGCAGTTTGATACCGTTAGCTTGTTTTAACGTCTTATCTCGACAGGCAAAACTTGAAACTGAAAAAAAACATGCATGGCCGCGATGTGCGGGCTTATACTATAGGGCGCCTGTGATGACCACACCCCATACAAGGCATATTTTAACATCAGTGGGGGGCTATTTGGCATCGGAGGTCCCGCTATAGATAGTGGTTCAGACTGGACCTTCACAATACCATGATGGCCTACATCTTACTCAGAGGAGTCCGCACTGAGCAGCTAATTTTTGTTTTGGCCCCCCACTGTAAAACATTTAAAATCACTTATTGCGGTAATACTGATGCCAGAACTGGTTGTGTTGTGGTCAGTACGCTTGGCTTTCAAGCTGGGAGTCTCAGGTTCAATCGCTGGTCGAACGTCTTCTACTCAAGGTCTTAAAATAATTGAGGAGAAAGTGCTACCTTTACTTGACATCAGAAAATGGTTAAACATTCGCATCTTCTCGAGTAAAGGGACGTTATTTCGAAGGTGCCTCGGATCCCCTACCAATTATGCAATATAGTCAGTTGGGAGATCCGCTCACCTGCTCACCAATGAATGAGAAACTCAACTATAAACTTAGACATGCATGCATACGACATGGAGTACAACTAACATGGAAGGATTAGTAGTTTAGTTGAGGTGGTAAAACCAGAGTAGCCCGGTTGAAATCTCGAAGCACAATAGCACATGCATTAGGAAACAACCAAGCACAACTCTATATTTACATGCCGTTTTCAATGGAACAGGCTAGCAAATTGCAATTCAGGATAAATACCCTGACCAAAACCGGTTTAGTAGTGGGCCTCACATGAAGTCAGTTGCTTGTATAAGCGTGAGGAATACCTTCAGGCGTTTTCTTTTTCTCGTTTTCATTTTCTGTCTATAAGATAAGAAAATTAATTTTCAAATAACCGAACTCATAAATAATATAACTAGTATTCATTATTGGAAGGCGGTACATCTGCAAACATAGGCCTAGTACCGGACCTATCTCATTGGGAGAGAGGTCTGTTGCCGGAAAATTTTCTGCGGCTCCCGAGTTTTAAAAACGAATAAATAATTAACCAAAACGTGCTTTCTGCAAAGCTGCTGTGGGTATCTTAACAAACCAGAACCATTATAGCGAAGCATTTCAATCACTAATTAATACGAACCAGAACCATCAGCGAACCATTTCAATCACTAATTAATATTTCTGTTCTCCAAATTGTTCCCATCAAATTCATGTTTTGCCGATTACGAAAACAATTTGCTCACTATAGGACTCACTATTTTGCCGACTACCACACGACTGAGGGGTTTACAACTATCGATCCCCCCACTCTATACGCATTATCCTGCTGGCAATGCTTCAATTCTACCGATTAAAAATCAGTATGCAAAAAGGGACAAGCCTGTTAAATTTACAGTTTATTTACAGACCTGTGTTTTCCTATGTAAGGAAACTTTGTATGTATATCTTCCTATTATGCCCATAATTTTCACACATACTTTATGCAGCTGTTGTAATATGTTAAATAAGCTTTCACATTATGCCTGCCCCAAACATATCAGTATGTTTGCATGTGATGTCTATTTGACCCACGACTTGACCAGTTAAAATTATGCAATGAACAGCTGCATGTCTGCTCAGCGTTTAATTAAAAACGCAAAATGATTTAAGGTGGCTCAATACAGTTTTTTAGAAAATGGAAAGTTCACGATTTAGATGCGTACGAAAGAAACGTACACCAATTTCTCAGGTTCCTTGCCACATACCGGCTCCAGTGTCAACTGGCAGAACTTCAGAAGACGGTGCTCTCTACCACTTCGAAGTGCAAAGTTTTTTCCTATTAGAAACATGCACCATTGCGTTTAATAACACACTTGCTGTATGATCCCCTAGGAGCTTATAGAAGTCCAGAGTTTATCCTCATCAGCTTCAGAAACGGCTTGAGCTTGTTTAATTAACGTTTGCACCAACACCCTGCCCTGTTAGGCGCTTCATTTCTGCATCAATCGAGTCCTGAAAATGTTTAAAATTAGAGTCTTCGAAGAAATTTGAAGCTGGACGACCATTATTTCTTAGATATCGTAGCAAAGCACAAAACAACGGCTGATACAGCGTATTAGGCGGTAGCATCCCCCTTTGGTTGCTTTCTTCCGAACTTCGACAACAGATTTCGCTAACCAATGCCTAAGTTCTACATCACTGACTTTACAAATATCCGACTCGACTTTCTCGTTGGCTGGTGCTTTACTATTCCTTTCGTCCGCCCACCCTTTCCACACACGAACTGCCCATGCTGCATTATGCTTCGTGTTTAACGGGTTCGGGTTTCCTTCATTTTCTGTAACTTTTCGTCGCTAATAAGTGATATATTTCTTGTATTTGTTGACTCGGCATGACTAGTATTTGCATTTGTAGACTCGCTGTTACCAAAATCAAGATTTTCAGTCTTTAAAATACTTGAAATTATACTTAATTCGTCACCCAAAATAACAGGATCCGCTAAAAATGTATTTTGGGTTAATCCTGACAGTGAAAAGTCTTCCTCGTCACTATCCATTTTGTGAAGTGCGAATGCAAACAATTCGTCAAAGTGAGGCCAGAACTGAATTTTACAAAAACATGTAGAAGAACGAAATAAGAATAAATTAACTAGCGTATAACTTAAAGCTCCTTTGGGATCTTCATTTTTTTTTTGTACCTATCTGTTCGCTAATTTAGCTCAACAATAAGTCCGCATACCTCCCAGTATTTTCGTTCACAAATTACACTGAACAACAACAATTTCCATAGAAATTATATATTAAATTATTCTTTTGAGAAAACCTCCTCAAGCTCGGCTGTTAGCCAGATACAACCTTTGGGCTTCGCTCCCAGGTTGTATATCTGGCTAACAGCCTCGTTACTCGGACTTTAACTCTCATTTATAACACGCAAGTAACCTTTTATAACCCCCGGCACAGCAGTACCGAATAACGCTCGTATTTTTCATACCTTTTTTATTATATAAAGATGGTTGAACTCAGAGTTTTGCAGACTTCCATCAGCATCAGATGTCTCTTGCAATGTTTTATTGTTGAGCTCACATAAACCTTTACCGATTCCGGACGTTTTATAATTTACTGACGCACATGATCTATCTCCAATGCAATTTATACAACATTCTACCTCGCTATTTGCCTGATTTGTTCCAATGACATGATATATTCGCTAAGTAATTTGGTACCTTTCTACGAAAGATGGCTTGCTTAATCGAGCATTTGCTTGGTTTTGCTTTTTGCAAAAAGAAAATTAACGCACAAAAGTTTAATAAAACCCTCATTCTAAGACATGCACAGGGGACTACTAGTCCGTGTTCATGCAGCGCACAGTGCTATAATCTGCTCTGCTATAGTCAATTAACGGCTATATACAGGGTGTTTCAAAATAATTCGAATCCAAATTTGGCGTGTAATAACGCAGAATATATTTGACAAATTCGGTTGGTTCTTACACCATTGTTAAGTTCATTTATTTATCTTTCAAATGACATGCTGTACGCGTCATTTAGTTGGAAAATGAAGGAGTATTGCTTTGACAAAAAATGTCCATAAAAATCACAATTTTCCGCCGATGGGAATTGGACATTTTTTCTTTCAAAGTTAGTCCCACAAGGCTTTGAAATGCTAATCATCACTGAAAACTAAAATGCAAATTTAACGCGAATTTCTTCTCGTTCAACATGTTGAAAGCATAGGAGCTTAAATCTCTTTAAATGAACATGAATTTATGTAAATTTTGCTACATAACAGTTTGTTGATTAATTAAATTTGCATTATCTTTTGTTTGTACGTCTCACTTCGAATTCCCATCGGCGGAAAAATTTGATTTCGAGCAACCAGTTTTAACATACGATTTCTTGGTCATTTTTGATCTTATTGATATAAGAACGATATAACGGAAACCTAATAGGCTATTCTTTATTGCCATATAAAAATTATATGGTTTACTTTAGTATTTTATAAACAGCAGTCTGTCAAATTTGGATTCGAATTATTTTGATACACACTGTAGAGTCAATAAGCTACATAGTCTGTTTTTGGGCATTTCATTATGAATTTTGGCTTTTGGGTAAATTGTTATTTAAATTTGCATCATATCTTATGGGTCATATTATGGGAGCCAAAATATGTTGTTACAAGTATACAAACTTGTATAAACAGGGTATTAGTATAAGGCGGCTTCTTTCAGATATTTGCGCTACATCAGTGTTGATTAACGCGCGCTAAAACGGTCAAACACATCCAGCTAAACAGCTATAGCTTTATTCCTTGTTATGAAGTAATTGAACCTATTCTATTTGCCTGCAGAAATTTGGCTCTAATCAACAAAATTCGAATACATGATACTTACAAACATGGCGGCCGAGACTGAACTTTACAAAAACAAATGTACAACTTGAGTGCGGGGCTGACACTGATCCCATCCCTGCTTACCACAGTAGGTACGTAGATAACTGTCTTGGCAAAGCATCGTGTTCTCGTGTCGAATAGGAACGCTTTATTAACTTTGTTAATAATTTCCATCCAGCACTCCAGTTGACATCGGAGACCAGTGAGAGCAGTGTATCATTCTTAGTATCTTGTATCAATCAATGGTAATAAACTAATTACTTATGTGTTCCATCTTATGGAATGGTAATAAACTACAATCCTGGAAAAAGGTTAATGAAACAAGTGTGGTTGTTCAGAAACAATATAAACCTCCCCCCTTCCCCCGAAAATGTTGATATTACATTGTGTATATATAATCACGCTGAGTAAGTTTGTCGATTGCAAAGAGCACCATCATTTCATGTTTTAACTTATAGCTAGCCAACATTGGAGGGGTTAAAAGGGACAAAACAGCAAATCAACCGAGGTGTTTCTTTAGTTTTTGCCATGATTGGAGTTACCTATGCGGTCCATTTGCAAAATGCAGCATTTTGATTGCTTCCCGAGGGATCGTTAATCTACAGAGCGGACGCTGAGATGGACAGCTTGCGAAACAAACTGTCTATGCCAGCATAAATTAAATATAAAATCATATGGGCTACAAAAATTGACCTGCACTCCGGCATGCAGTAAATTAAAGGCAGTTATTTAACTACTAAAAATATAGCTACAGTTCCATGAATGGCGCCTAAATATCAAATTCGATTGTTTTCTAAAAAAACATTTCTGCCTTCTCATAATAAAAAAACAAATGTGAAAGTCTTGTTTTCTTATTTTTTCTTCATATCTTTTAAGATTTACATTTTCAAATTTTATACGTACGGCATCGACATCCCGATACAACGTCCATTCTACCGTTCAACGTACATTCTATAGTCCCTATAGTTTCTTAGTGCAGCATGGTGTTAGTCAGTTCACAGTTTATAGCCGTTTGGTTTTCGCTCTGAAGTTAAACCCAACACATGTTGACGCAGAGAAAATTGCAATTCACATCGATAGGATGTTCGACATTTTGCTCTGAATTTTTAACACTCTTCTGGTTCGCTATGCTTGTAAATTAGTACAGACTAGAGATTCAATTCAATAAATATTATAATAGTTAATAAACATTAACGACATTCCAATGGTCGGGCCCCGACAATTGGATTGTAGGCCTGCGCAGAACGTATGCGCAGAACGGACTTTACATCACCTTTAAAATAAACGGAAAATAAAATGTTGAGAAATTCTAGATAATTAGGTTTGACTATACAGAGAGTTTTCAGAACAATATAACTAGTACATTCAGTGCCGCCCAGAGGGGGGGGGGGGCAAAGGGGGCAATTTGCCCCGGGCCCCGAGTTGCTGGGGGCCCCTGAAAAATTTTTGTAGGGGCCCTGCCTTTTTTGTGTGTAAAATATTTCCGCGCAAAGGACAAGATATCTGTTTTCTTGGGCTAAGTACCGAATTTTGGCCTAAAAAAATGAGATAAAGTCACTCGAAAGCGTTTGCACGG